CTGCTGCTTCCCAGAAGCTGCAGAATGAGGGGAGGTCAAGAAGTAGGAGTGTTCTCTTTGCCTAGTAGGTTCCAAGGATGGCAACTAAGCAACACTGAGCTACTGCTTGTCTGATTCCTTGTGGGCAAAGTTTAAAGAACTTCCTTTTAAGGGCCATGACAGTTCAACAACTTCAGTGCAATCTTTGAGACTTTTTAAGGAGTCTTACACATACTAGTAGCATGTATGATGTTTAGAAACAGGTCATTATCTTCAGAGGCAAAATCCTCAATAGTCACCTGGACCTTACATAGTTTCAAATACTCACAGGCAGGGAGATCTTCATAGCTGCAGACTGCCACAGTTCTAACTGGTATCCAAACAGGTCAAGAGCATCCCAAAGTGGTGTTTTAGCTGTTATTTGACTCTTTGCCATAAGACCTCAGTTCTTTTACCTATTTCAAAAAGTTAGAGCACCTCTTCCAAAGAAATGTCTACTTAACAAATAGCACCGGATAGTTACTTCTCTTATCTGAAGGTATAACAAGAAGGATTGCAAAGGTACAGCTTTTTGAAGTCTTTCTTTCAGAGATTTGACTTTTTTTTGGCCCTGCTAATTGGATGGCTTGAACTAGGAATAGTAAAGGAGGGATACTAAAGAAGTTCTTGAATCCCTTATGTACCTAGTACTTCTCTGTGTCTTTCTGTTATCACTATAATAGAAGTTAGTATATACCATGGGTTTTTTTGTTGGCTTAAGCAGCTCTTCCTTAATTGCTATCAGACGTCTCAATGTAGGATATTTACCAATGTATGCTATCTGAAGTCCACAGTCTTGCACACTGCAACCCAGAAGTCTGACGACCACATTCAGCAAACCCAGCAAGACAGACGCTGACAGGCCGATCACCTTATCTAGCAAGAAAGCCATTATAGTTGCAAAATTAAGTGTTTCAGGTGAATGTGCATATCTGTTATATTCCTCCTCTTCTTCAGCCATGCAGGGCTGTGGTGCTAAGAGGCATTTCCTTGAAGAAGGAATTTTGGGTCTGATATAAACACTTCAAGCAATAGCTGACTGACCTCTCCAGAAGAAGCAGATCCCACATCAAAGGGAAATGTCCATTTTCTGAAAGGGCCAATAGTCAAATGATACATACAGGGAGGGTATACAAGGTGTTCTGTATCCTGCCATCAAAGATGTGTGAAGATTGAGGCATTCCTGCTTGTACTTCCAATCTGTTTCCTACTATACCATCCAAAGGACTGAGGTGGAATGCTGATTGCAAGATTATTATTATCATCATTATTATTATGCTTTATCTCTGCTAAAGGCTGTAAGAAATAGTTCTGCTCTGGCAGGAAAACTACTCTTTCCAGTATACTATGCATTATTGCCAGTACCAAAGAAAATCCTGGCTTTCTCAGACTTTTTCAGCGAGATCCAAGTTTGGTTCTAGCACTATCAGAACAGTCAGTGCAGGAGATCTCAGTAGAGCAGTGGTGTAAGTGACAGTGGCAGGAGCAGTATGGTAATTATTTTCAGAAGTGATCTTCGGGACTGGTTCTGACACTAGGATGCCTCATGGGAGACAGTGAAACCCTTAAATGTTTGGATCTTTGGCGAGAGGCTCCTGTCGCTTCTCATGGTGGGAAGGAGGGCAAGCTGCTGGTACTAGAAAATCTACCACCTGAAATAATGATCTTTGTGGCACGTCTCTGGAAATATCACAGTCAGAGTTGACAAAACAGCAAAGAACAGCAGAGAAGCTTAAATCTAGCATAAAAACTTGTAATTTGCTGGCCGTGTACAATAAACTTGATGCAAAGGTTTTCCAAGATGGTCTAGCTGGATCAGAGGTGACTTGCATTAAGTGTTCTAGGAGGAAAAGCTTAATTATTACCTCCTTAGTGTTCTGTAGCATTCCTGGAGAAGATTTGCAGATGGAACAGCACATCAGAATATACCTCTGACTGAAACACAGCAAAGCTGGAAGGATGCCTGTCACTGTTTGACACAGTGGATTCACAGATCCAGAACATTGCAATCTGCCATTCTGTGTTGTGTTTAGGGGAAGCAGATGCTAGAGACCCTCTTTCATATCAAGAAAAGACCCCCAAACTTGCAGGAAAACCTACCACCACTCAAAATTGAAGTAGCAAACAGGAAAAGAATATACATCCGTAAAGACTCCAAAACTTTGAACCTTGAAATAAAACAGGTGCAAGAACAGGAACAACAGCTTCCATCTTACAACCACAGGTGGCAATAAAGAAATGAACAGGACTGAACCTGTCCTAATGTTTACAACATTTGCTGTGGGAATAAAAAAGGGCATGGAGGGTACAGATATAGCCCTAATGGACCAACTATTTAAGCAAATCTCTACATATGGGGTGCATGCACACCAAAGAATGTAATTTCTCTGGACAAGACATCTTTAAAAGCTCCCATTTTTGGAACATTTAAAACACTAGAAAATGAACCTATGCTGACACGAAGATGAACTGGATGATACATCAGGTCTTTTCAATACCTAATTTCCAGGACACTACTTATCAAGAGTAAGTTGTTATACCACCTACAGGGATTTATTTATGTTTAAAAGCAAACAAAAACACCCCATAACAACACAACTTCCAATAATGTTATCGAGAAGCACGTAGGCATAACCCCTAGAATTTCATTAATACCTTCTCTAAACAAAAACTTGGATGGCAATTGATTTGAATATAGCCACATCTGTGAAATCAGACTTGGATAAATCTTGATACGGTACATTATTCCTGCAACACTAAGTATTAGAATTAATAATTTACTTCAGAATAAAATATATGAATCTAAATCCCAAAATGATTTTTAAGTATTGAACATTTACTACACAAGTGTTTTACAATGATACGATACTTCCAACCATGGAAGAATGCATTTGATAGACACTTAATTACATGCTTAGTTATATAAAAGACTGCTTTTTATGATCTATTTTAATCACCTACATTTATGTCATATCATCTCCATAATCATTTTAAAGAACAGATAGGTGCAAATGTTAATCTTGAACCCCAAATTTGTAACTAATTCAAATGAGGGTGACCAGCAGGTAGGTTCTGTATCCCATAACCATTTTACATTCCGTTTACAGCCCACATGCCAACAGGCTCTGTCTTTATCTTAGAAACTTGGCTAGTGTCCCAGTGAGTTCTTCCTTCCAGCACTAGCAAGCTGCTTCTTCTGAAATCACCCTTTTGTCTTTTCTTCCTCTCTGCACTGAATCTGGTTCAACAACTAGACAAACTACTAAGGGGAATACCGTCATCAGCAACCACACTCAGAAACCTTAAGCAGTAGTTACTTCAAACCTACATTCTAGTCTAGGATGTAGCACACAATGTCAGGGGAACATACAAGTAGAAACACACAGTACTTCAAAATACAAACAGAGGAAAGAAGAATTCTTTCATTTACTCTTTGAGGGTTGTGAAGGTGAGGAAATGGGTACCTTGGGGGGAGGGCTGGAGCACAGAAGGGAAATGTGAGGTAGCAAAGACAGAGGAATTCTGCTGGTTTGATCAAGTGTTCACACCACTTCAAAGTATAAGCTTAAATCACTGGTTATATGTTTTTCTAAAAAATATGGAAAACGGAATTTTACATATTCTTGTATGTACTTTCTAAAGATATGCTGTAATATGGTAAAGAGAACAAAGATTTAGTTGGGTTCTTCATACTTATTTTGGCAAACAATTTTAAGAACTGTCTGAAAACTGTTTTGATGCCCAATAAACTGATTTAGTTGTATTAAAATGTAATCTCAAATTCATTATATTGCTGGCAACTGGGAACTTATTCCTCCTGACAATTACGTCATACCCTAACTCTACTTAACCATTTCCATTTTTCTTAAAAAGTAGTAGTTCCTAAACAATTTCTTTTACCAGATTTTATTGCCCACCATTTATGAGATTATGGGTAATGTCTTGTTTATCAGGGAGAAAAAGAAAGGATATCAGCAATAAACTACTCTTGTTGCATTAGAAAATGATCAGGCAACCATGACTTGGTCTTTACAGTTGTTGTCTTCAGGAACACTGATTGAAGTTCTGTTCACTTGCCAGAGAGCTATAATAGAAGTGGGTATTATATCCTGTCTAGGAGGTCCTGAATGAGTAACTACCTCTAAAAACTATTGCTATCTGAAGAATAAAAGTTTCATTATTCTTGGCTTTTGGTATTTTTTCAGATGTGTTCCAAGTTGTTAACTAATCAAAAAAGCTGGAGTATATGCATTTTACTTAGCTAGTTTTAAATATGCGCTACTTACTGCAGTGTTGAGCTACAAGAATTAGGGTACTTGCCAGCAGTTCTCCAGTTTGAAAATGGTGGTCACAATTCCCAGTGGTAGATCCTTAATTCTGTCATGTGTTTCCTATAATGTGCCTATAAAACTAGAGTTTGCTGACATGATGCAACTCTTAGGGTTTTGCCAAACATGAGAAAATATATACAATTAGATGTGGGGGAAGAGTAGTGTCTCAATAGGTCTTAAAAATGTATATTAAAAGTTTGAGCGCTTTCTGGGAATTTAACATGTTCATTAAAATAAAACCATCTATTTTCCCTCTCAAAAGTATCCAGGGGTAAACTGCATTTAAAAAATTGGAGTTTAAGGTTTATATTTTATTTCACCTTAGGCAATCCCAGTATTACGATAACTGATTTTAAAATAGCCTTTTATATTAAATTAAAAACCCTGTACATAAGTGGACTTTACATAGTTCTCAGATCAGATATAACAAATGCTGCCTTTGTATACATACTTGAAATGCACTACGCTATTGACCAAGTTAAAAAAAAATAGAATGGATTAGTTTTCAGTATAGTAGGTTGAGAGAGAAAACAAAAGATTGACTGTTACTATTAGAATAAGCAACAAAGAAAAATATGGAGGAACTAATATTTTGGATTCTCCAAACCAACTTCAAGATTTCTAGAAGTAAGTTTTTCAAAATAAACATACCAAAGTGTGCTGAACCACTGCTACTTTTACTTTGTATAGAGGTACTGCATGTCTGGGTCCCAGGTTGTGCTGTGCCTGTTCGATTTATACCCCTGTATAATTTCCTACAGGAGAGTTCATCATTGTCACTGTCATGTAGGGATGGTGTCCGAGGCCTAAAATGCCGCCATCTACATGATTTGATATTGACTAGTATCTGACTGAGGTCTTTAGAGAAAGATGTGTCCGAGGTATTTGTTTCTGAGGTATTGGCAAATTGATTGATTGAAGAGTGCTGCGGCGAGGAAATCATTTCCAAATCCAGCTGACGAAACGTACTGTTGTAGTCTGAGTGTGCTCTGTCCAGCAGCACCCTAAAATGAAAAAAAGGCGAGTGAACTTAAGACAGCACCAAGTCAAAAAAAGTTCAACATAATCAAAAAGCATCTTGACACCTATCTTACTGGGGTCATCTGATCCCAGCAGTATTTCCTGCCCAAGTGCAGCAGGGCTGGACCTGATGATCTACAAGGTCCTTTCTAGCCCCTAACAACTATGGAACTATGAATTTAAAGGCATTAGAAATTTGCTTCTTTAGAGGGAAAAAGCAAAACACTTCAAAACCCTGCAATAAATTAGCACATCAACCCTGACTTACAGTAAGTTGCATTTAAAACTTTTGACAGGGCATATTAGGCAACATAGCTGTCGTCCCCCCTGCTTTTAAGTTTCAGCTCTAAAAATTAACATTAGGCAACTGTAGAACTATCTGCATATTTCAGGACTACAAACAACAAAGTCCATAAATTTAGTCCACTTCAGTACTTCTTAATTAGTTAAGACAGTGAACTGTATCAGGCTGTGTCCATAGTGAAACAAACCAAAAATATTAGCTCAGATGAAAATATAGACAGCATTTATAGAAGTCAGTCTTTTATATACACACCTTTGCCTTTGTGTCCTGAGGGGAGGTGGAGGAGGGGGAAGTTTTCCACGTATTTTAAAGCAACAGTTGTAGCTTACCTTCCACCACGCCCGACCCGTCTTCGTGCAAATCCAATACACCTCTGGGGTACAGTAAGGGTGGTTAAGCAGTATCTATAGCGCACATCTCCTACTCTTCCCTCTTTAGGACTACTCCATGGCCAGGTGCCAGGTTGGTCTAAATGAGGCTTAAAAGAATTAAAAAAAATAGTTAAAAACAAAATTTCTTCTAATGATGCTCTATCTTTAACATTTGTAAGACAGTGTCACTTACAGCATAGTACTGACAGCCTGCTTTCCTACGGAAAGCAAAAGGACCATCGGGATCATTTTCTTCCTCAGCTTCAGAGGAACCAGACAAGACCTTTAAAAAAAAAAAAAAAAAAAGAGAGAAAGTTGTTAAGTTTATGGAGACAGTTATCTGTTCTTTTCCTAAAACTGTAGGAAACGGTAGAGGCCACACCTGGGAGAGAGGTTCTTCATCTGAGCTGGGAAAATCATACTGATTCAGATCTTTAGCATTAAAGACTGGCAGTGCAGCAGGACTCGTCTGTTGAGGAGTAGCAGCAGCAGACGAAGGTAAGACTTTGGGCTTCTTCTCATACTTCCTTTTGGGTCGTATAACATCAGCTTTCTCTTGCTTCAAGAAAATAATAGAAACTTGAATTAATTACTTTAATATGGACATAAATTGGTTAAACTACAAGCTTTTTAAGTATCTACTGAAAAGATGCTAAAACTGAACTGAACTTCTCTCTCCACCATTCTGTACTCAGCATTAATCAAAGTTTCAGATTTCAGGGTTCTGGTTCCTTCATCAGAAGGAATAAAGTCCAGTTTGCTCAGCTGGCATTTTATCAGCTAAGAATAAAATCTTCTTTGGGGGGGGAGAAAGAGAGAAAAAAAAAAAAAGGTACAGGACAACTGTACCTAAGAGTCAGGAGGCAGGATTAGAAGGGCGTTGTGAATATGAAGTTTTTTGAACATCTGTACAAGGTTGTTATAACAGAACTTAAATGCCTACTTAAAAAGGTTAAAATCTTCTAAAAATAACTCAAATTCCATTCCCAAGGGTCAGTATTGTGTGAACATGATTTAACAGATTGTTACATCTGTAAAAACAACCTAAAAATAATAATTTAACATACTAAGAAAGCAGCATTAACAGGAGTACTCTATTTACTTTTTCAAAGTTGTGTAGGCATGTTGTGCACATACGATACAGGATACAGGGTGATCAAACATTGGCCAGCAATACAGTGCTACTTATCAGATAAAGAACACTTGGAGACTTGATCCACAGCCATTTATAAATGGACAAAGTCTTGCAACTCTAAGTAGCAATGCATTGTCTGTCATTCAGGAGACCTGCATATTTAAGCAAGTTTGTTCATTACAACAGGAATAACTCTGAAGATCTGTCTAATTATAAAAAGTCTTTCATACATTATATATTATATATTACAATTTTAGTTTTACCTTGTATTCCCCTGCCAGGTATTTTTGAGGGAATTTTTCTTTTATGGGTATTATAGTCATACTTTATGACAAAAATCAAGACTAGTGGTGACAAAATGCTAAGTGGGTGTCTAACTGCAACATGAAAAGCAGCATTTCATGCTGCCCAAGGCAGCATCATCCCTATCCAAACCACTCCATAAAAATCTTTGTCTAACTTATTACTAAGACTACACAATCAACCCTGTCACAAAACTACAAAGCCCAGCATCCTAATCTGTCACAGGATTCATCAGGATTTGCTTTTTGTTTTGTATGTACAGTTCACATTCCCATAAGCAGTATCTGAACGACAATAGCACAGTAACAATTTGTAAGGGAAAATTGTAAATTCTCTCATGACAACTGTGCAAATAATTTTAAATTACTGAAAATGGAAGCTAGTTGAGCATATATATTCCTAAAACTGTAGGGTTTAAGTTTTTCAATTTGCATTTATTAATAATATTTTCAGTTAAATTAGTTAATAGGAAAAAAACAACTTCTGACCAATATCAGATGAAAATCAAAGCCTGAAAAAATTAGGTACCCTTGCCTATAGTGCCACAAAATTAGAGCAATTATACCACTACAAATTTAATGGAAGTCTCCTCTTCTAGATCTGTATTAAAATGTATCATCATATCTTTCATTTTTTGGAAGATTTTTACACAAAAAATAAAGCATGGTTCTCATGCTAATAGAACCTAAAACACTTTGCAACCTGCATGCACAAGAGCATAACTTGATTAAGGTAAGAACCACTAGGCTAGAACTAGTTTTCTCACCTTGTTAACTTTAAATTCCTTCAGTTCCAGAGTCTCTTGATGTTTAAAGGGACTGCTATTATTAACAGGAATGATGGGGATAGCATAGGTAGGTTTCATTGGCTGCCGCTGTGCCATGACTTCAGCCATGATCTCTCCGTTGTAGTCACCCAAATTATATCTGAAAGTAAATAGTTTTATTTAAGTTTTTAAAATACCAGAAACAGAACACTTGCAACATTTACTCTGTAGAAAATACAGTACAAGTAAATCTACATTTACAGTATTTCTTGAAGCTTTGAATCCTAGGAAGGCAAAATAAGATATTTTAAAATTACTACTCCAGAAGAGAGATTACTACACAGGACTCTGAACAGCCCAGAATAAAGCCCTAGAAACCAAACCCATGCTCTACAAATGCTTTTGAAGAGCTGAGAGAAAAGGAAGATGATGGAAGGGAAAGGAGATCATTTCCAGTAAATTGTGCCAACGTACTAAAATTCAGCAAAAAGATAGTGGACATTTCAAAACTGTCTAATTCATCTTAATATGTACAAATTTCAATATAAAGAAATTAAAAAACAAAATTGTAATCCTGACATTCTACTTTGTGTGCTAAAAGATAAGAATCATGCCCATACAACTGATTCTCAAAAACACATTCTTAAAAAATAGAATTCGTATTAGACAATATAACTGTCAGACAGCAATTAAAGGACCTTTTTGAATTGCTACGGTATCAAGGAAGTGAAAACTGCAATAGAATTCTTAATGATGGGAGTGTTAGAGCACATGTCCCAAAGGAACAAAAAGGAAAGGGAAATGGTAAAGATAAAGTAATTTGTGATTCATTGCTTCACAAACAGGAGAGGTTCTCTTTGCTTTAGGTCCTTAACAAGATTAATATTCCGAGTTTTCAACTGAACTTGCCTGTAATTTGTAACACCTATTCTATTTGTTCAGTTTTTTTTTTAAAAGTGGAAAGAAAAGATGTATTATAGTAAAAATTACTCAATTTCAAATTTAATTTGTTATTCTTTTTCTTTAGTCATATAAAAAGCCTTGCTATGGTACAGTAACTATGAAAGGGCTAAAAATATTTGTTTTAGGTGTGTAAAGCTTCATAAAGGATTTTGATATAGGTCATTAAAAACATTCAATATGAAAGTTTTGTGAAATGACCATATTTTGACCCATTGATAAGATTTACCTCTTTTCCATAATTTCCAGTGTTAAATGCAGTAACTCTCTCTTGCTCTTCTCCCTTCTCTTTATCATTTCAAGGATAGTTACCGCACGACTCAGATCTCGACGCAGCTTAAGCATTTTTTCGTAAGATGCTTCATCATTCTTTCGATTCTGTAAATACATATTTTTCATTTCATTTACATTAAAGTTGCTATTGAAAGCACATTATGCATGAAAGTGAGAACCTGAATCAAGCATTAAGCATGTGAAAAATCACAAAAACTCCCCTTTTAAAATCTGTTAACCACTTCATTACTACTAGAATTTATAACTACAAAAAAAAAAAAAAAAGAGACTGG